AGACCCAAACTAGATGTTCTCACTATTAACCTGTAAAGTAGCAGAATAGTCTCCCTCAGTCTTCCTTGTCCTGAAGTATCCACTTTGACCTAAAGCAACTAAATAAGGACCAAGATAGTAGAAAAATGATCCTGTAAGCTTCTGGCCAAGGCAACCACCTGAGAAGCAAGACTTCAGCATGCCAGTCTGTACTCTATCATTATTTGACTTTTGTACAAAACAGAGCACGTTCAAGAGAAGACGCTAAAATTCCCACCCCATCCAGAACACATTCAAGGGAGTGGAACATATGTATGCCACTTCTTGCAAGCAAAATGGAATGAAAAGAGACTTCTAAATACTGAGTCATTAGAGCAAAGATGACAGAAAGTAATAATCCCCCTTAAAGTTTCATGTAAGTGTACAACTTACAGTATCAAATAGCAATGACCCTGTTGCAAACAGAAGTTATGTTGTCCTGCGTTAACTAATTTTTTGGCTCTGTATCTCTGGACAAAGTTGACTTGCATACATTTTCTTGTTTCTTTATTGAAATTAATAATACATAACTGCACAATCCTAATGCTAAGTAGTATGAAAAATTGTCTTGGGCTTCTCATACTTGGCACTTTTACTCTCTCTCTCTCCAGTCCAGATCCCCTTCTGTAAAATGGGAATAATCTGACCTTATCAGGATTTTGTAGAGATAAATGAACATGTACATAATCAAGAAAGCTATGATTGTGAAGCCACCAGCACCATGAGCACCCCAGGAAGCCTTGATTAAATTAATAACTTTGTCAGCAGAGCAGGAACCTAATAGTGATGTGAATACAAAACATGAAAATTAACAAAGAGAAGAGCAACAAAATACTGAAAGCTGCCCAGAGTTTGCTCCCTATCCATCCTCCAGCAAGATCTACTGAAAAATATTAGCAGTTCTTCAGATGGTCATATTCATGAAAGATATGAACTTAAATTGCACCTTATTTCTAGTCTTTCCTAATACCAAATACTTGACTTGGCAACCTTCAGGGTTGTGTTTTGTCCACATTAAAAATGTTATGTACAGTGTTATGTATGTTCAAGACAAAAATCAAAAGACATGGAAGTTCATCTGCCTGGTTTAGGGTAACATTAATCTCTCAGTTTTAAGAAACAGGCTTAGCATTTTGACACCTATCCCATTTACTTCTTTCAACCAAATCCAGGCAAAGTCACTGGTATTGAGGCAAAACCAGATGAAGGGCTCGCATGACCCCAAACAAAAAGCAGTTTTCACATGGCCTCTTATGAACCGAACAGAAACAAGCAAGTCTGGCACAACTCAGTGTTCTACAAGAGGTGCACAAAGGGCCTAGTTCTGAGAGGTGCTGAAGGTCTCTCGGTACTGAGCACCACAGGATCAGGCTCAACTTGCTAATGACTTTTCATAGAGTAGTGGGGATTAACCACAATGTGACTCCTGAAGTAATTTGCAGCCTGAATGAAACAGGAACAACTTTTTGACTTTGTGAGGGAAGGGTTTGTGCCTTTCCCTTTTTGCTGAGAGCGGCTCCTTTTCTTTTCTCTAGACAAAATAATGTTTTTTCTCGCTAGGCTTTACTTGGAAACGCTAAAGATGTGTCACCCTGTCTGGAGAATGACAGGCCAACAACTAGACTTTCTTTCACAGAGGACTAAGTTGTTGTTATACAGCCAATAAGAAACTATTGAGGTGGAATCAGCCACAAAACCATGAGTCCTCTGTCTGTCCAGATCCCTTCCCAGGCACTAAAAACCTCAAATTCCTGACCCTGGTGACAAATCGGAGTAGCAGCCAAAAGAGCTGTCCCCTCTACCTGCCAGACAATTTCCTCTCCTAGAAAAGTATGCAGAACAACAGAATAGAGTATCTCATCCTCTCTGTGCTTTCACAGGCTTATCCATGGCCACAGCTCTCTTTCATGGGACTCCTTCAACATACCCAAAATTATCAACGCCTCACTTATTACTGCTGCTACCACTATTAACTGTTTAAAGTTTGGACACTAAGAATTCCATGTGCTATATCTTGACATTCTGATCATTATTTTTTCTTAGAAAGCCCTTAAGCTATATGATTAGGATAAGAGAAATGCCATGAATGGTGGTTAACTGGACAGTCTCTGAACGCTGGGCACCAATATGAAATGAAAAGTGAAGTCTTTCATTGGAACATAGCATTGGAGTGTCTGAAGAATAAAAAGTGGATTTTGATTGATTTTGCTGCTTACCTTAAAAAGCCCTGTACACCAGATGGAATGTGAAACTTCTCATGGCTATAGCTTGCAAGGTCTTTTTAAGTAAGGTAAGAAATCCTTTAATCTCCTGATTTTTCAGAGAGGTGTCAACAGTGATATCTGTAGTCAGCAGCAAGTCTGCTAATTTAAATGAAACCTTAAAACATCAACAGGAATAGACACTTCTAAGCAGGAAAACAAGTAAAGAGAGTCCAAACTCCCAGATTTTGCCTACTGCTCCTACAGCAGGATCACACCATTTTCACTGTGTAGCTACAGATAAGTAGCTATCAGCTACAGGCTCACTAAAATATTTTAAGTTTTGAGATCCTTGCATGTAGAATGAGATTCTTCTGCGTGCACCTAAGAAAGCACCTAGGACCTACTGCAGTACTTAACAGAAAGAAGTGAAGTCTTTTTTACTTATTTTTAACAAACAAATATTCCATCCAAAACAATAAATAGGCCTTCCTAAATAATAAATAAATTCCTAAATAAAAAATAGGCCCTCTGTGTGACCCAGCTATTAAAGCTGTTAAAGAATGTTGAATTACCAGACGAAGTGAGTGTATACCTGCTAGTTGGTAAGCAAGGAAACAGTATCCTCTGTACAGACCTGATGAAGGGTAACTACATAGTCTACTTGCCAGAAAAGCTTCATAGTACTGCAAGGGATCCCCTCTCTTAGACATCACCGCACTTGGGTGAGTTGCTGTTTGACCTCAGCAATAGCTTTAGAAATAGCCAAGGTCACAGAAGCAATAGCTAGAAATATTTCAGCAGAGAGGCTGAAGTCTTTATTTGCAATCCTCAAACTAGCTGAGGATTTGGATTTGCTTCCAGTCACAAAGGATTGAGCCTTGAAGCCCAGATGATTGGAAAAAACCTAGTAGTAACCAGTTAGGCGGGGGTAAAGACAGTTCTAATGTCAATGAGATCACATGCAGTAAACAAATAGGATCTCTATTCACAATAATTATCACTCTTAATTCACAGATTATCTCAAGAGCAAATGGTAACAGAAAAGACAAAAAAAGAAAAAACCCGACCTCCAAACTGTTCTTCCCCTCAGCTGACCCTTTACACAACAAATTGGCTTTATGTGGCCACAACTTAGAGGAACTGCAGGCTTGACATGGCGGAGAGCAAAGTGTGAAAGTTGTGAATGGTGTGGTTTTTCAGAAGAAACCTAAAGACACTGCCTTCCCTTCACAGACATCAGTTTAAGGCATTGTAAGGAACCTGGTTATGCAAATGAATTCAGTCCTGTGATTGGTTATTGCAGCAATGAGGATTCTCTCACACTATCCAAATAAGCTCTGAAAATAGCAACAAGCATCTGCTCTGTTCAGTCTACCTCATCAGCTTTCCTTTTACTATTTGTTTCAAAAAGAGTCTCTCAAATTTATGGTAAATTACACCAGGACTTATAAAGGAGTAAAGCAAAATCATGTGAAAAAGACCTCTGGCTAAGCAAAATAGCATTTCTGGTAACAGTCATCTACATACTGTAGGATGACTTGCCAGATAACTAGTCTAGTAATGTATTTTCTTTGATCCTGTGATCCACACATCTATACACAAAGACCTCTACTGAGCATTTATGTCTGATATATTATACCTTAATTATAAATTCCTGTTCATCCCAGTTATTTCAATACAAAATTAGCTCTTTCATAAAGCTCTTTCTTTCACTTGTAAACTAGTTTGTCATGTCTATTTTAAATTTGGAAGCCATGCAGCACCACTGACAAGCAGAGAATGTATGCATTTTCATGCCTTGTTAAGGTTTAATTTCGTTTGTTCTTTTTTATTCTAAAATAAAACAGAATTGTTTACTGAAGCAACAACTACCACCCATGGAGATGAAGGTAACTGCTCTAGCAAGACATAGTGGTTCAGAGATAACGACAATAGCTTATGCTAATGTTCAAGAAAATTACATCAAGGTAGAGTTCTCCCTTCAAGGATAGTTTTAATTTATGGTCCTTTCAAAATGTAGTTGTTGCTGTCCTGAACACAAAACAGAGCTCTGAATGTACAGTCTCAGAATAAGGCCTTATCTTAATAATAAAATTAATGAGATTAGAACTGGCCATCAAGAAATTTTAGTAACTCAGAAATTTTTAACACACTTAAAATTGTGAGATGGCCTAGTATTAAATAACTAAACATTTATGGTAAGAAGAAATACATGTCATAACAAAAGCAGATCATGCTTTGTAAAGAAAATAATTCTCTTCTATTACTAGAAATCAGTATCAAGGAGACGCAAGAGAGTTAAACTCCCCATTATCCTAGCTGAATAACTAACACTAACTTTAAAAAATTAGATACAGAAGCCAAAATATTAGTTAGCTTAATCAAAGATGAAGATGCAGCTCTCAGAGAGAAGAAACATCCTGGGGAAACAAACACACCAACCAACCAACCAAGAAATATTTAAAATCATCCTTTCTTTCACCTCTGCCTCCTCATTAGTATGGGTTTGAGGTTCTTTCCTCCAGCAGCAGGAGCCAAGCTCCCAAGCAAGTGGCACACTTTGTTCTATGTTCTTTCAGGATATGGAATTCTTTTCCTTGTATCCTCTAAAAAAAAAAGTTAAACTCTCATCCTGACTCTCTTCGCCTGTATGAGAAAATTTCCAGCCGCACTCATATTACTGTTACAGGGTTAGAAGGTATTTAATTTTGTGTAAATGATTAAAATATCGGGAGATAACGAATATTCTGATCAAACATAAAGTTGATGGGCACTTACTCCCAGAATTCCATCACTGGAGAAGTGGCATTTTGTAAAGAGAGTTGACTGCAGTTGCTCATGTTAAGTTTTTGAAATTCCACGCAGTTTTCTATAAAAGAACAAAAAAACAAGTTTGCTATATTGAAATGCAAGTACATTTCTTCTGGTGCATCTGCTAGTTTATGCATCCTTAAAAGTTACCATTTTACAATACATTTTCTGTAAGTGGTTAAAGGATTTCTAGGAACACTAAAATGCCACAGCTGCTACTTCTGCCACACTGGATTTTGATCACCACACTACAGGCCTATCTGAGAAAAACATCCATGCAGTATGATCTATTCTCCACACTCCAATGCTTTCCAAAGGCACAGTTCCAATGGCAAGGGGCAATAAAACATCTGAGGCAGAAGAATAATACTTTGAGAAGCTGATGCAATTGATTGGGAATTACAACATACTCCAGCTGCTGCTGGTTCAATGGCAAAAGGTAACAATTGGCTTAGGAAAAACCACCAGCAACAGGTTTCCACTTTGCCTTAACAGGGCAAGTGAATAGTCACTCTGGCTTATTGTTATCTCCAGTACAGAGAAAGGAGATCAAAGCAGCTCGGCATTGTTGAGGTGACACTTAGTATTTGAACAGGGATCAACATTGGCTAAGCTGCTTTTCAGAGCTGCCAAAACTGACACTGAAGCCTTCCACATCTATTGGGCCCAAGACTAATTTTCTAACATAAATAATCTAAACTGCAAGATTTCAGGTAGTTTTAGGTGTGCTCAAGGAACACGATTAATGACCAATCAATAAAACTCATGACAGACAGTACAATTGATACATGACTTGAAATGGAACAGTACTATAGGGAATAAATCCAAAAACTTCAGGAACATGGAAGTAAGGGTCATTGGTATGTATTCCTCACCTAGATGTTTGTGATCTTCATGTGCAATAAGTAGAGCACTACAGATGAAAATACCAATGACCAGACAGATGCAAAGCCCTATACTGCAAACATTCACAAATACACACCTCATCTTTCAAGTAAAAGGCTATTTTACATGCAGCAAGGGTTATTTGTGTGACTAAATTATTACTGTAGCTTGATGGACGTTATCCCTCAACATCTGGCATTATAAAGAACAAATCCAAAGTTCCACATTTTATATTTTCCTCTCCATTCAAACTCCTCCTAATTTCATTAGACTGAAAGAGCAAGACTGTAACCTGTCATTAGGTCATCAGCAGAATTCACTTACTGCATTCAGGAGAATAGATATGATTGCAAATGAGAGTCTTGAGATTTTGCTGGAATATCTTACAGAATTAACAAAATCTAAAGTTGTCTTCTGCCACCTGGCAACATGCTCTGCAGGAATAAATGCTTATACAATGGCCTAAACCAAAAAGATATAAATAAGTCTTGACTCCGGGATGCTTTTTGTCATAGTGCAGTGTGATGTGACTGCCCCATTTCCACAGACTTTTCTACAACAACAGTTTTGTTCCTGACATTTTAATATATTAATCAATTACTTGGAAGTAACTGCATAGCAATAATCTCTGCTGAGGTCATACCTGTATTCCAATCATGCCCACAGGTAGCCCAAGGAAGCTCTGTAGTAAAGCAGTTAAACAAATAGAAGATAGCCCATGCTAAAATGATGATGTAATATACATTTAGGTGTGCCTCTATAACTTGGGTAGCATATCCAATGCCTAGAGACAGAAAAGTGAGACACAAGAGAAAAACTTACTTTACAGGTAAATTAAAAATAAATGCTTATCACTTTAAGTATATCTTATGTTTTGATACAACCTATTTTATTTTACTTCAAATTCAATGCATTCTTCTGCAGTAGAACACAAACTGTTACCTTCAAATAGAGGGCAAACTTTTCTCCAGCATGTAATACCTCCTTCACTAGTAAACTGTCCCAAGGCTGTCTCCAAGAAGAATACTGGTATTCCACAGCAAATAAAAAAAACCACATATGGGATGAGGAAAGCACCTACAAGCAAACATTGAGGGAGTGGGTTGTTATAATGAACACAGTTCCTTGGCAGCACAGTGAGAAATTAACTTTCTTAATAAAGGATCAGCTGTTATCCCCCTCTCAGACAGGATGCTGCAAGTGCACAAAACATTTACTCCTGGTCCCCAGTACCAGCAGTGAACCTGCAGGCTAATGTCATGGACTAAAAAAAGACTAGACAGCAGTTCCCCAGTACAGAACACGTGTCTCACGTGTCTCTCAAACACAGAAAAGACCAGAGTCTTGCTTAGCCACACAGCTCTGCTCTGACTGTCATCACGTCAGTTTACACAACCTTCTCTTCCTTTCCTCAGGAAAGCAGGGATGAAGAAAAGTTATGGAAATCAAATTCAGGAAGTCCTTTGTATGTTATTTGGATATGCCTGATGATAAGAATCATGAAAAAGGAATGATGAAATAAATTTTAAAACTACTTACACTACTTTAACTACTTTATAACTACTAAGAACAGGAAAGCAGGGCTTGGCCTTATGAGCTAGAAAGATTAATGGGAAATTGAAGGAAAATAAGAAAGCAACAACAATTCTGTCAGCTGCTGACAGTAAACTCCAGCATAGATAACGAAGAGTACAATTCAATACTAAAGTGTCATATTCACTAACAATAATAAAATATTCTCATATCAAGTAACACATAGCATAAGTATTGTATTATTTCACAATTGACCCTGTTATTAGGTATGGCACCTAAAAGACACGGCTGTGAAGTATGCCAAAGCAAAAAAATGAGGGAAGATCCATGTTAGGCATAATGTCACTTGCTAATGATGTAGATTTTCGGTATCCTATTTAGACCTGAGCCTAAATAACGAGGAATAAAATACAGCTTTTTTAATTTGTAGAGGATCTGTCAATATATAAGGCATAAAGAATTTTTTTCCTCATTCACAGACTTTCTGACAAATTAAAGGATGAGGTAGAAAGCAAGTGACTATATTGGTTTAGACTGAAACAAGGCCAGAAGGGAACAAGTACTGAGAAGCAAGCACAAAGTAACTGATTCTGCCATTTTTACTTACACCAAGAAAGTTTTACTGTTTTAACCAGGCAGACTAGCACAGCAAAGTACTGCACATAATATTTTATCTGACATGGTAAGAAAATCACAAAGCATTAACTGTCTAATTAAGTTATGAAAATAAACCTTAGCACAACATACATAACGCTCTGTATCCAGGCCTCAACTTGCTCCCAAACAAATAAGCTCACAACACTAACGAACTTCACTTAAAGCTCCCATTAAATGATGTAAGCATCCCATAATTCAGTTCATTACAAATCAACACAAGATAACACTGAACACACAAAAGCTGGGGTGGATGTGGTCTTTCTCAGGAAGAAGTGGTTTACAGTGCTGTCCATCACCACGTATGTTCCTCAGCTCTACAGAGCACTAGTAATAGTAGCATTTTCTCCCTTCAGTGAGAGGCCTGAAAATCAATTGATATTTAATAAACAGTACCTTAATAGCTACCTCTCTGATACTAAATCTGTCATAATATTAACAATAAACAAAATGTTTCTGATTATACTTCAGGAAAATGTCTACAACTACAAGGCAAATGGATGGGTTAGGTACCCATACGTTATCTTTAAAAAACCCCAAAATAACAAAAAAACCACAAACCCCAAATTCCACAACACCCCCATAATCTGCAACATTTGTTATACTTGAGTCATTTAGATTAGGCAACTAAATACAGATGCTTTGGCTTGCAGTTTCTTTCTTCAGACCCAACACATCAAGAGAGATCTGTTCATGAGTAGGTGCCTGTAATTGAATCTCAGCCGCATCTCAAGCAACACATGTGGCTTTCCCAAAGAATGGAATCCTTGCAACTGAAGCATGGTTTCTCTATCTCATCTACTGTGCAAACGGTTTGAACAAAATCCTTATAGGCTGGCTAAACTGCTGGCCACTATCAAATCCAGCTTGACCCACTCACATGCACGATCATGGTGCATTTGACATGGCAGTTTGTTGACATTTAAAGTATTGGCTTTGACTCTCTTTTCTATCATTGTTCTGCAACAGATATGCATCAAGAAAAAACAGATGATGTCAGGTTTCCAGCTTGCAAACAGATCACATTCCAAGAAATATCTAATTCTAAGCATGCAGAGAAATTAATTTTCCATTAAAAACCTACTAAATATTCCTAAGAACAAATTAAAATTATAGAAGCTTGTGCCTACACTACCTGCTATGACTTAGATGTAGTACAACAGAGAGGTCAGACATCAGATATTCCATACTACTGCTTGTAGAGTCGTTCTGTATCTAGCAAGTTACGAAACAACTAACTCATTTATCTTACCAGGATGTACTTATTCCCACTAAGTAGTTTTCAGTATTTACATCTGATGCATCAAACAAGTACAACTCTGGTCTAATTTCAGCAGGGCATTCCAGAGGGTTACAAAAACCCAGGTCACAGTCCAAGTCCTCATTGAATAAAACTGAAGTCAATGACAAATTTCCCATGGTGCCAGGACACGGGCGATTAAACCATGCACATTAATTTTACACTTTAAGAACAGGGTAGTGATTCAAGTATGGTATTGAAGAAATTAGTTTTTCACCAATTCACCCAAAACATAGTTAGAATTTTTTCTACCTAATGTTACAGCCTTAAAAATGGTCTTCTCACAGTTTGGCAAGCTGGCATATACATACAAATGGGCACATAAAAGTTAGAGATCTATACAGAAAGGAATCCATGGACACATCTTCCACAGCAGTATCAGACTTACAGAAATAGCAGACAAAATAGGCCCTGAGTTCAGACAACTGTGCCTGGGTTTGGAGGGACAAGGGAAAGAAATTTGGCTTAGCGTCGTTAGCAAACAAACCCATTAAATAATAGATCCCTGCATGTCAGCACTGAACACAATTTTCTCCCAGCCTGTACTCTTATGCTAACACTGATTAAGGCTTTAAGTGGGGAGAACATTGAATGCAGTCCACAAAATTCCAAACTCCATTTTTAATTTACTTTTTCCCCCCAACTGCTTTGCAACTCATAGCTGACATGCTTATTCTTAAATGTCACATACCTTACATAGCTTATACTTAACTACTTACTATAGTTTATACTTAACTACTTCTACTTTTGTAGAAGTTAAATCTGTTTTCTCTCAAATAATATTCTGATTCTAAATTTTATAGGGTCTGTTCTCTTCTTTGAGTGACAGGCACCTTTTACATCTTCCCTGCCATCGTGTAGTGATTTGGGAACTAATGAGAAACAGAAGTATGGTTGAGTTACAGAAATTTTCACATGACAAAGAAAAAAGTAATCTTTGTAGTATTATCAAAACCAATATTTACCCTCTTCAAAGTACATTGTTGTGAAAAATAAACGGCTACATTCATTTCTACAGCAGGTAAACTTAGCTTTGCTTGGGTCTGTATTCACATGCGTAAGAAACCACAGTGTGCTACTACAGAACACTGGCTTCTTCTGCGTTAAAAACCTTACAGGAAAAAAATATCCATTTACTAATACAAAAGCAACTTGTGCAAGTAAACCATGCAATAGCTGGGGAGGAGAAGGAAAGAGAAACACAGTGATCTTTTTCTTACTTGTCAGATGTTTAATTCTTCCTATCCGCACATACACCGAAATCCTGAATACTTCTCTTAGTACAAAAAATCCCTGTAAAACAGTCTTAACTGTTTATTTCCCACATGCTTATGGTAAGCTGAAAATCAACATATGAAGCCATCTTACCTCCTCCATTCTTGTAGCAAAGATATGGGAATCTCCATACATTTCCCAACCCAATAATCTCCCCTGCCACAGAAAGCACAAATTCAACCTTATTGTTCCAGTGACCTCTTTCGTGAACTTTCTTATCATTGATGTGGACGAGGTTGGTACTAGAGGCTTCTGGGTCCAAAGCATCTTCTGGCTTTCCATTAATTATAGGAATAGTCTTTTCAGCTGTCATGACTGTTCAGCCTAGGGGAGAATGAGAAAGAAACATATAGATGTATTGAATCACTTGTTAGTGATAACCTTCAATGACTAAAGAATTTCCTTAGCATATCATTGGCTTCTTATTAGCTGCATAAATTTGCAAGTGAAAGTGAAACAGGCAACTCTGTAAGGCTGGAAAAGTTGTAAAGAAGGAAAAAAGGAAAAGGAAGGAGAAGACAGCAAAACACCCAAAGCAGCTCATGTACAAGGGAAGATACCCAAATTGAGACAGACAACTTAATACAGTATTGTTTTAAGGTGCAGACAGTAAAGCCTTTCAAAAATCCCTCCCCAAGCAAGGATCTCAACTAACCTACCAGAGAACAGATCTCTCTCCACCTTCCAGGCACCAATGAAAGGGGTGTGGAGAAGGGAGCCTGAACGTATCTGGCCTGCCTGGAGGAATACGGGAGCTCCCGGACTACTCACCCAGGGCTCTGCCTGTGCCTGCGCTGCAGGGAGAGAGACAGGGTCTCTAGCTGGGAGCTCGGCTCCCGGCGGAACCCCGCGGACCGCCGCTCGGTTGCACGGGAGGCGCGGGGCGGGGATAGCGCTGGCGGCGTTAGGATAACCAGGAGCCGGGAAGCCTCGTCCTGCTCTGCGGCTGCCACCCGGCGGGAATAAGATAGGATATGATATGATGCTCGCCGCGCTCTGGAGCCGGAATTTGCAAATGCTCAGCCTTCCCCGGAGGGATGGTATAACACCCGCCTCCCCCCTCCGCCCACCTCAGGCTGTCCCGCCAGCCCCCCCGCTCCCTTCTCCCTCCTTCTCCCGGCATCACCACCCGAGCATCCCCAGCCCCTCACTCCCCCGCCCCGCGCAAAGCCACCGGAGCCAAGCACCGCGCATCCCCACTGTGCGAGAGCACCCTGCCGGCGTCAGGCCCGCGGCTCCCTGCGCACCTGCGGCGCTGCCCGCGGGCGGCTGGGCCGGGCAGGGGCAGGGCCTGGCAGCTTAAAAAGGGGAGCCGCCGAAACCGGATGACAACGACATTAACAGCGAGCTGGGAAGGCGGAGAGGGGTTGAAAAACGTGGGGGCAACGTTTGGGAAGCGTGGAAAAAAACGCAGGCATTTTCCAGTTATACTGGGAAAATGCAGAAACGGCCCACATGGGCATTTCTGACAGGTTTTGCTTAAAAATCAAACTCAACAGGGACAAAGAATGCAAACTGGTTTGGTCTGGACTGAATTAAATATTTCAAATATATTTATGGGTTTTTTTCATTGAATTCCCCCCTCTCCCACCTTTTCTTTTTTTTTCTTTTTTTTTTTTTTTTGGTAGGTCAGTTATTTCCAGACCCTGTTTCTCAACCCAAACTAAATCTCTCTTCCATTATTTATCCCTGCAGCTTCTCCCTGGCCAACGGCAAGACCCAGGTCAAGTTCTAGCTTCAAATCTTCTCTCAGATCCAAACTCTGGGTTGCTGTTGTAATCACCAGTGTTTTACTCCGGAGATGTGTTTTGAATCCTTCCTCTTACATCCTGGATAACACTTCAGTGTGCTAGACAACACTGTTCCAGAGACAGCATGCTCTTTCATGTCAATTCTCTTCCTTTTGCCCTTCAGCTCCAGATTTTTCCCACTGCCAGGAAAACCGTTATCCACTGCTCACTGAAGACAATATAAAGATGCCCATGGACAGTTTTTACATGAGCTGAATTTGGAATCCAGAGCCTGATACCTTACACATGAAGACTCAGCAGGTTTCCACCCAGAAACTCCTACTGCGGTTCCAATTGTTAGAATTTTGCTCTTAAATTACACATGCCATAAGGGTGAGCATTGGGACCTCACCCTCCATCCTCTGACAACTGTATCTCACAGAAACAGTTGCACCAAACCTTGCAGGATGAGGCCTTTTTTTCCTGATACCAACATATAGAGCAGTAGCCAAACCTATATTGTGAAATGAGAAACTGCCACTGGGGAAACCATGGTAAAAGAGCATAATTCTGATTTTATGTTTTAATCATTATTTAAAAGGATCCTCCACACAAATACCATTACCAGAGCTGGGACTCGGTGGTTTTCGTGTGGTTTGTTTTGCTTTTAATGCAGCTGGTATTCATTAACTGAGGATGGAATGGATCCATTTTTCCCAACCTGGCTTTGTACAAACCTAACCCAACTTTGAAGGTTTTTTGTTGTTTTATTCTTTTCCCCCTTCTTCATCTAGTTTTCAGCAGGGATCAACACAGGCATTGTTTTTCTATATTCCAGCCAGGTTGAGCAGGCTTCACAGGATACACTTAAACTTCAAAGCTGAAACTGAATTCTCGTTTCATTCCTGAGAGCAATTCTGAAACTGGAGGGAAGCTAAGGGACAGTAAACATTTGACTGATGATTCAATACCAGACTCTTACAAACAGACTAATGATACCAAATCAAAGGGGCCTGCTCCAAAGAACAACCTATAGGATGACTGGAAGATGCAAAACATATTTAATCATTGCTGATTTGTTCAGTATTTGAAACAATTCCTGGTGACAAGTATTTTATTCACTGCTGTATTCTTGCCCTTGATTGTCATTCAGGCTCCTACCAACTGAAAGGATTATGGAAGTAATTGCTAGCTGCTAATCTTTGTGAATACTTTACTGAAGTGCAGCACAGTGTTTCCAACAGAAAACTTCCCAAATTTTAAAATAGGTTGGTAAGCCATTGATAACAGGCTGATAGAGCCTATTGCAATGAAAAGAATCTCTGGATTACAGGTTTCATCTCAGTTCAGGCACAAACCTGTGCATCTCATGCTCCTCATCATGAATTCATGCCTGCTCCTGTCAGTCTGCTGGGAGAGTTGCTGGGAGAGCAGCACCTGAAATGCAATCAAAGCTCAACTTGGCAACTAGGATGAGAGGAAACCTTGCAACATGGCTGCACTGTAAGGCAAGAGACTGACTGTTACCAGTATCAGAAGGCTGCTATCAGTAAAACCAATATCTACTACTAAAAAATTCATTAACTAAAATATTAGTAAATATTATGTAGAAGGGCCAGCAGCATCACACATCAAGTAAACTACTTATGTCCAAGTAGATCTCTTCCGCACCCCATACCACAGTGTAGCATCAGCTCTGAAGAAGCATTTAGAGCACTCAGTAGAAGTAAGTTTCCCAGCTATTCCTTTCAGGTCCCACATTAAAATGATGTGACCTAATGAAGCAATTCAAGTTCTGCCTTATTCAGGTTTATCTCCACATTCCCAAGGAAACAAAACTCTGTGTAGAAAGTAGACATGGGTGGGAGTGGAAATGAGACTTTTTGCTAGCAAAGGATGGTCCTGTGAATCCAAATGTTAGAATCATGGAATGGTTTGGGTTGGAAGGAACCTTAAAGATCCTCTAGCTCCAAACCCCTGCAGTAGGCAGGGACACCTTCTATGAGATCAGGTTGCTCAAAGCCTCATCCCAAAGCCCCTGGCCTTGGAGACTACATTATTTATAATTACAAACTAAAATTAATAAAGATGAGGAATTTATATTTACGGTTAACGAGAAAAGAACCTCCAAGAAAAAGCTACATTCCTATAGGATTCTGCCAGGACACTGAAATGTTTTTGGTTACTGCCAAAATGCATATTCAGCCTATTTTTCCATTTATTCTGTTTGGGGACTTCTACATGGTCCATGCTTTGAAGACAAATACGGAGTGTTAAGACATAATCAACATGTCTGGAAGATTAACTCTTTGTCTTTTTTCTCCTTGGTGTCCAACCCATCCACAACTCAGAAGTCACATAAGGAAATCTGCATGATACAGTTGCACATTTTGCTTCTCATGCAGATACATTTCTTGGAACTCAGGATGCTTTGCTTATCCTACACTTTGGATCCTTGTTAGGATGCCTCATTTTCTGTAACACTACAAGTAGACAATAGTAAGGTCTCTGCTACACTGTGTAATCTTTTGGCCCACATGTGCCTTCAGATTTTTGCATTTTTCCTGAATAAAACCAGCAAGGTTTGGAGGCAAGAGGCAATAAATAGCTGTCAGAAAAACCCACCAGTTTTCATTAGGATTTAAGCTACCAGGAACAGGGCTAATTTTCTAATAGAGATATCAATGCTACGTTCATGCAAGTCTTTAATGTGAGCAAAAGTCATATTATACAGCTTGAAATAGGAAATGAAAAGGCTTGGGCTTGATTCCATTTCTTCTGCTTTTAAACCACAATAACTCTGTTGATTTCTGTGATGTTTCAACAATATAGAACCTTGTGTCAGTGTAATTGAAGGAAGGAGGGAAAACCAATCCTCTGGAGATCTAAAAGCTTTAGTTTAGATTTGCTATAAGTAAAATCTACACAAGCCTCATGTAAAGATTTCACTAAGTTGGGTAAACAGCTACACAAAAGAGAAGAAATGCATTAAGAATTTCATTAGTGATAGTGATCTGACACAACAGTTTGTATCAAAAGCTTAAGAGCATGAAACATTCTGTGGACAAGCAAGACACCTTTAGCTGTGCTATTACAGACTGGACTTAAGTAAAAAAGCAATAGGTTGTCTGGTTTGTGCCTAATCAGTTGTCCGTGGGGGAGGGGGCGGGGCGGGGGGAAGAAAAGAAAGGATTTTTTTGTGTCACAGATAACAACTTCAAGTTACGCAACAACTGACTGCTAGGCTTCTATTTACAAAGGCTTAACAGCTATCACTGTCAATCTCTCTCTCTCAAATTTATTGCCCATGCCTCACAATGGTTGAGATGCTGAATTTAAAGAGCTATTAAAACCACTTTTTCTTCTATTAGTGTTGTCCTTTGGAGACTTTCTCTTGTCCCTTGCTGTCAGCCCAAGAGCCACATTTTCTTTGTTACACACATTTTATCTTCCAGACTATCTTATCTTCTAAACAGGAATGGGTGATATATTCCATAATATGGGTTTTCTGCTACAGACTCATGCTAACATGCCTTCATCTTTGAATCACCCCTGAGGCATCTTGCTGTGAAAAGTTAATTTCAGAGCTTCCTAAACATGATATTTTTACAGACAAACAGCATTTGGAAGGAGCCTCAATCATGAGGCTTATACAGAACTTCTAAGAGTTATTAGCAGTCATCTATTCAAATTGAATAGAGGCCCTTTCTATGTCAAGTCTTACTTGTTTACTCAGCTAACAAAAGCATGTTTTTACTTTTTCTATCACTTAGAGCAGCAAGAAAACAAACTAGCAGCACAAAGTTATTTCTATGAACAAATTATAGAATCATAGATCAACCATGTTGGAAGAGACCTTTAAGATCATTCTCATGCCTCTGACTGTAAACCTGGAGGCACTGTACTTTTGAATAAGGGGAAGTACATTTCTACATATTGACCAAAATTATCACTCTACAGTAATTCAGTACATGTATGTGGCCAAAGGTGTCCAATAAGACAAAGAGTAAAATGTAGAGTTTTGTGAAGAGAGGAAAAAAGTACTAAAAGAGAAGACAACCTATGAAATGTTATAATGTGACTTACAAATGAGACCAAATAAAAGAAATGCCAAATGATGACCTCAGCATTAGATACATAATATAGACACAACTGTCTTACCACTAGCAGTTACTAGTCTGTCATTCTTCCAGATCAAAAACTGAACTTGCAGTCTTCAATGCAGTTATGCCAAATTCATATTGAGAAGTGCTACAATCTGGAAAAGGAATGAACTCTGAGGAAAGCTGGTGTTCAAATCCTCTGGACATATTTC